CACTACTCGAATACAACAAAGTTTCATTTAGACTCCATGATGAGGCCTCAATAAGGAATTTCACAGCAGACCTAGAGACTGTTGACTGGCCTACAGAATTCTCCAATGCAAATGGTATTGACGATTGGACAGACATTTTTCTTAACAAATTACTTAGACTATACAACAAACATTGTCCAATAAAAACTAAACAGATCACGAATAAACGGCTCGGTTGCCCATGGCTAACCAGCAGCATTCCGACATCCATTGATAAGAAACACCAATATGAAAAGCAATATAGACAGGGCTTAATACACAAAGATATTCTTAAACAATAGTCATCAGTTCTCACCAAAGTAATAAAGAAAGCCAAACAACTATACTACTCCAGTAGATTCACAGACACAAGAGGAGATATAAAAAAGACCTGGAAAACACTTTCTCAGATTCTAGGGACCCACAAACTGAAAAAAAAACAAGAATATTGTCCTAACTAAACCTAATGAAACACCACTGCATCCCACTGATACAGCTAACAAGATAAGCGACTTCTTCTCAACCATAGGATCTAATCTCGCCAGTAAAATCCCATGTATCAATGCCCGTGCCGGGGACTACCTAGATGAGAATTTCCCAAATTCTTTCTATCTTGTACCAACTGAGCCCACGGAAGTCACCGAGATTATAAAGTCACTTAAAAATAACTCGGGGAATCTGTCTCATGTCCCACCATTATTATACATGCGAGCGGCCCATGACCTTTCGCATTACATTACTTTTTAACAAGTCACTAGAAACTAGCACTTTACCGACACTACTCAAGACAGCAAGGGTTACACCAATACATAAAGGTGGTGACCCTACAGATGTAAACAACTATAGGCCAATATCAAACTTACCATTGCTATCCAAAATCTTTGAGAAACTCGTGCACAGGAGACTATATTCATTTATAACGGCACAAAACATACTCAACCCCTGCCAATTTGGATTCAGGAAAAATAAAAGCACTAATGATGTAATTGTAAAAATGCTAGACCTGCTTTACACAGCATTGGAAAATAAGGAATATCCACTAGGAACTTTTTATTGACCTAAGAAAAGCTTTTGACACAGTAGACCACGACATCCTAAAATATATCAGTATGTCACCATTAAAGACATAAAATATATTTAGCTGGGTTAGGCTAAAATAAATTGCTCTTGTTATAATAAGGTTAGGTAAGTTTTCTACGATTCTTTTAGTGCAAAATTAAAAATTTTTACATTAACATTAGTGAAAAAAATATATCTTTAAACGTATAAGAGAAAATTTTAGAAAGGACTTAATTTTAAATGAGTTCTTGCTAATTGACCAGTTTTACATATTCGGCACGACATATATATATATATGTCGTGCCGAATAGGCAGAATTTGCTATCTTGGCTTAAATAGCAACGCTCATCTTGCCATATAGGACAAGTGAAAATTTGTGTATGCAATAATTTCGCCAAAATCATTCTGAACCTAACGAAAAAAATATATTTCACTGTGTTTGTTTAGTATTAAATTATTGTAAACAAATCTAAAATATATTTAGTTAGGTTAGGCTAAAATAAATTGTTCTTGTTAAAATTAGGTTAGGTAAGTTTTCTAAGATTCTTTTGGTGCAAAATTAACAATTTTTACAATATCATTAATGAAAAAAATATATCTTTAAACGTATAAGAGAAAATTTTAGAAAGGACTTAATTTTAAATGAGTTCTTGCTAATTGACCAGTTTTACATATTCGGCACGACATATATATATATATATATATATATATATATATATATATATATATTATATATATATGTATATATATATATATATATATATAATATATATATATATATATATATATATATATATATATATATATATATATATATATATATATATATATATATATATATATATACATATATATTATGCAAAAAAGAATCCTGGCTGAACCTACTGCTTTTTGGCAATGCCTGTTTGGCTGCCCCGCCAAGGAGGGACAAGTCACTAGCAACATATGTTATTAGGGCAATAAATGCATTCCCTAGAGATGACAACCTAGTCCCTCTCCCCTCTAGGGCGACTAACACCCGCCGGGCAGATGCCAACAACAAGACACCTGACGCCTCAAAAATCAGAGCCCAAATTGGAGAACTGAGGCTTATAACCAGTGAGGATACCATCACTCCTAAGGACGTCATTTCAGCACAAGCCCTGAAGGATAAACATCCACCCAGGGCTCCCAGTACCAACATTGACCTCCCTGACATTGAAGCATGTGAAGAACATTTAACCTTAAAGGATGCTAATGTGTATAAAACTGCTGTCATTTCCACAGGGCTCAACAGGAGGTTTCACCGGTTTAAGGCCTCAACACTTAAAATAAGTGCTCAGTTCAGCACTTGGTGAGGTTTCAGAGAGGCTGCTGTCTGAACTCACCAAATTTTCCAACCTGTGCCTGGCTGGCAGTGTCCCAGAGGCCATCAGACCCCTTTTCTTTGGTGCCTCATTGTGTGCCCTCCGGAAAAAGGATGGAGGAATCAGGCCCATTGCAGTGGGTAACACCCTTCAGCGCCTAATCGCCAAGGCTGCAATAAGAAGGGTGAGTCAAGAGGCTCCTGCAATATTGAAACCAACTCAGCTCGGTTTTGGTGTTCAACAAGGCTGTGAAGCAGCTGCCCACGCAACACGAATATACATCAAGAAGGGATGCTGCTCTCCAAACAGTTTCTAGACACTTCCCTTCCCTCTATCCCTTCATAAAATCGTGTTATAGTGTGACTTCCAAACTATAGTTTGGGAACCATGAAATTGACTTGTATGAGGGTGTGCAACAGGATAACCCTCTCACCCCCTTGCTATTCTCTCTGATCAAAAGCGCTCTCCAGTGAGCTCAATATCTGGATCTCGGATGATGGTACTCTAGCTGGCACTACCGAACCTCTTCTAGAGGACATCAGAAAAATTAAAGACATGGGAGAGAGCCTTAGCCTATCTTTAAACCCCACCAAATGTGAAATAGTTTCTACCAATCAACAGATGATCCAGAATATTAGTGCTGTTTAACCAGGAGCAAAAGCCATTGATCCAACCAACAGCACTCTCCTTGGTGCTCCTCTTGGGTCCAATGCCAATGCCTAGAAAGAAAATTCTCAGACCTCAGGACGATGGAAGGCAGGATGAAAGACACTGACACACATGATGCCTTCTACCTACTCACCAGGTGCCTGTCAGTCCCAAAACTTGCCTACTTTCTGAGATGCTCCCCAGCCTTCAGCAGTCCGAAACTCAAGGAATATGACTCTCTCCTTAAGACCATGCTAGAGAGAGTATTGAATCTTTCCCTCGAAGATGAACAGTGGTTGCAAGTCTCACTTCCAGTCAAGCTTGGGGGTTGGGAGTATGCAAATCCTCCCAGATTGCCCCACCAGCTTTCCTATCCTCTTCCACAGCATCAAATGAGTTAATAAAACAAATTCTTCCGGACAACCTTAGTGACTCAGCAGGAATATAGGAATATGCCGGTGCCATTACTGAATGGAAGACTCTTGCTGCTCCAGTACCAAAACCTTGTGCAGCACTGGCCTACATACAGTCAAGCTGGGATGGCCTCATCGCTGAAAAGGTGCTTGCCAACATGCTTAGAGCTGTAACATCAGACAGGGAGACTGCCCATCTCCAAGCTGTGAGTGCACTTCACTCCGGGGAATTCCTCCAAACAGTTCCTCGACCCTAAGCCCCTCCGTATTGCAGTGGCTCTGCTCTTTGGAGGAGGTGAATGTATTCAGATATTTAGGAGTGGACTTGTCAGCAGATGGGTCTATGAAGGATGAGGTGAATCATAGAATTGATGAGGGGAAAAGGGTGAGTGGTGCACTTAGGAGTCTGTGGAGACAAAAAACTTTGTCCATGGAATCAAAGAGGGGAATGTATGTGAGTATAGTTATACCAACACTCCTACATGGGTGTGAAGCATGGGTGGTGAATGTTGCAACGAGGAGAAGGTTGGAGGCAGTGGAGATGTCATGTATGAAGGCAATGTGTGGTGTGAGTACAATGCAGAGAATTCGTAGCTTGGAAATTAGGAGAAAGTGTGGGATTACCAAAACTGTTGTCCAGAGGACTGAGGAGGGGTTGTTGAGGTGGTTCGGACATGCAGAGAGAATGGAACAAAACAGAATGACTTCGAGAGTGTATAAATCTGTAGTGGAGGAAATGTTGGAGGGAGGGGGTAAAGGAGGTTTTGTGTGCGAGGGGCTTGGACTTCCAGCAAGCATCTGTGAGCGTATTTCATAGGAGTGAATGGAGGCAAATGGTTTTTAATACTTGACGTACTGTTGGAGTGTGAACAAAGTAACATTTATGAAGGATTCAGGGAAACTGGCAGGCCGGACTTGAGTCCTGGAGATGAGAAGTACAGTGTCTGCACTCTGAAGGAGGGGTGTTAATGTTGCAGTTTCATAACTGTAGTGTAATTCACCCCTCTGGCAAGACAGTGATGGACTGAATGATGATGAAAGCTTTTCTTTTTCGGACCACCCTGCCTTGGTGGGAATCGGCCGATGTGTTAATAAAAAAATAATCTGAAGATATCATTATATTAGCGTGAGGTCTCTCTTGCACATCCTTAAATATCAGTGATCCCTTGTGAAAAATTCACAGCCTATAAGAAATCGCATGCCAGTTATACAACGCCGACAGCCAGGATGTTAAGGAGCACCTGCGGGGCCTTTTTATCTTTTCAAGGTCTGTTAGGGCCTTTTAAGGTGTTGAGCTATAGCTCTTGGGCTTTGTAAAGGTATAGTGCTACCACTCCTTTGCCTCATTAGTGCTGAATTAATCCTCTTTGGATGGTCAAGGGTTTGGCGTTCATGTCCATGGGAGTCTTGAGGATGCTGAACTACAAATCTTACTTAGCGGCAGAGTGTGGATGAAACAGTAAATAACAAATGGAGGAATCTTTAGTATACATGGGAAACTAGATGGAAGACTTACTTTTCCAGAGTCACTGACGGACTGGTTGATCGGTGGTTGGTTCAGGATGGTTCCCCAGCTGAATAAGAGAGCGGTGCTGAGCTTCACTGACTGACCTCCTGTCATCCAGTGCCATGCCTGCTGAAACAGCCACACGACTACACCCCACACTACAACACTCACCATCAGTGCCAACCAAAGACCTCCTGGACAAGGTAAAAATATAGTTTATTGATAATTTGATAAGCAGTATATTAAGTTTCAGTTGCGGTATTTTTCACCTTAATCAGTCCAAAGACTAAATGATTAAATATGAGAGTTTTGATACAACTATAACAACAAACTACATAACTCCCATCACCATCACTGAACACTTCATTATAATATTTGTAGATGAATGGTTCAGAGAACCGACATGTTGATAAATTAGACACATATGCAACTCTTGGGTATCTTTATTGAGGAAACGTTTCGCCACACAGTGGCTTCATCAGTCCATACAAAGGAGAATCTTGAAGAACAGGAGGAGAATGAGGTAATCAGTCCCCAACCTTGAGTCGATGTGGTCAGTCCATCAAGATTGATGGACTGACCACATTATAATATTGTATCCTAGCAATCAGTAAACCTCAGGATAGAGAGCCCTTATATATAACATGCTGTTCATAAATAAACCGTTTATTACTGTGATTAGTGGTGGTCGATTAATGACAGATGGAGCTTCTGCTGTATAAAATCACTAATAATGTTTTTTTCTTTTCTTATTAATATGTGTTTATACAAACTGACAAAGATTTCTCTTAAAAGATGTCAATTTTTTTTATGTAGTACAAAGCTTACTAAATTTCATAACGTACATAGCTAGTAGGATAAATGATAGTTTGTAAGCATTATTAACAAACTATTATCACGGATCTTAAAATATTTATATTATGTTATATTTTACCTGTAATAATTTTTCCTTTGTGTAATTAATCATTATTTCATCTATCATTTTCCTATGAGCAAATTTCTCATTATCAAAGGACTTTATCCAAACAAAATGTAGATTTTAATTGCCTTTTTTTTAACTTAAATATATAAATACTAAGTCAGATAAATTAATGCACTGCATTTAATGATGATGAAAGGAACGTTCTATTTAAGGCGGGTGAAATAATGTCCTCAGAGTATTTTGCAAAAACAAACGCATGAGAATCCTACAAAGAGTTAAAAGGTCAGAGTATTGTACAAAATCCTATATAACACAACACTTAAGAATGCCTAGAGAATACAGCCGATTAGCTAAAAAAAAATTACTTATAACATTTTATAAAAAATTTTACTCCGTTATTGACTTATATGAATTAGTTGTTTTATTTAGAAATTATTAAAAAAAAACTAAATCATTTCTAGTTCCAAAATTGAATGAAATAATTCCCACCAGTAAATGGCTTTATTATCGACAGGTGTTGTGGCAGGAGTGTGGGTTTAAGAGACACTAAACTCAACCCATCAATCTCGTATCCACTGACAAATTCCATTGCACGAAGCCGCTCTTCTGTTGGTCCCAAAGGTCCACCACAGTCAGCTTCTTCTCGTTGAAACTCGCCCAACATTCCGTTAAATTTGCCATTACTTTCAGTCCCCCAGGAACGTTCTCGCGTCTCACGAAACTCCATGCTGTTCAGTATATGCAGATAGACAGTGATACAATTCTAAATTTCTGTCCGTTTGCTTCCAGGAAGTGGGTCCAGTCATTAGTCAAATTATGGTAATTATAAATTTTCGTTTTGATGTGAAGTTAGTCTAAAAAATACTTAATGAAAAGCATATTTTGGTTTAAAAAATAGTGGATTCTTTATTTTCCCAACGATTTATGATCCATTACGGTTTTAACAATGAACACTATTTAATTACACCTTCCACGTTAAGAAGAAAAGCTCTTAGTAAGTGAGTACGTTTATTCAGGTATGCACAAATACATATACATAGTTTATCATACATAGCAGTATATGTGTAGAGGACTTAGGATGACCCAAAAAAGTCCGACAGAGTGACTTACCTGCAGTTCACTACAGAAGAGATAACAGAAGCGAGTCTGGCATCAAGACAATCTGTGAAACTGATTGGAGACCCTGACTGGTCAGTCAGAAGTTTGAAGTCAGAATATGGGAAGAACCGCATCACTATGAACTTGATCTGGTGACCCATGAAGTTCTGCAACTGTTCTGAAGACAAGACTTTTAATTTGTTTTTTTCTTGACATTTAGCATTTAGATTATAAAATATTTTCATAAAAGTTACATTATGTGCAATATTATAAATATTGATTGTAAGATTGAAGATTTTGGACCGTAATGATTTTAGAAATAACATTTATGAAGGAAATTAAATAAAAACGAGAACTAATATTATTCAAGACAAACTAAAAGTAACGAGGATAATAACAATTAGCAGAATTAGTAGAACGAATTTTGTTTTGCCATAAATTATCAGAAATCTGAACATAAAGAAAAAATTATATATTATTTATTTAAACTAATATTAAGTAAATGAAAATTGATCTGTGATAAATATTGCAAAATTCTGGCAAGAAATTCGGTTGTGTAAGTGAAGTTACGTCAGGTTTCTAAATTAGTTTTGGTCCAAAAAAATCTTTCTGCAAAACGTCTTTTTGGAAAAGTAAAATTTTTAAGGAAGTTTGGTCTATTCGGGAAGTTTAATATATATATATATATATATATATATATATATATATATATATATATATATATATATATATATATATATATATATATATATATATATATATATATATATACATTTGAGTTAAACAAGTTGGACAAAGCCTTGTTTTTTTCCTGAGTAATGAAAAGTGACTCACCAGCAAAGAGATTGTTAGGCAGCTGTATAAACAAAGCGGGATACAACTGCTCAACAAGCTGGACGTCCGCGTCTCCGCTGTTGCAGTACAGACACCGACGGTACAGCCACACACTGCCTGGCACCGATGATGCTAAAAGAGGTCATAATCATTAATACAAATACTTACGAAAAAAGACTGGCTTGTAATGGAATTAAACCTGGTTCAAATGGAAATTAGGGCATACCCGAGACAAATCTGTTTCAAACCTTCAAGCAATGCCAGCTTTGAAGTTAAACTGAAGAGACATTTTCTTGTAATCTCACAGAGATCAATATCTTGAAATATATGACCAGATTTATGTTGAAGACGCTTAGAAGTTGTAGTACAAATTTATCAGCGATGAAGTGTTGAAGATGATCCTATGCAACATAAAGAAAATATCTCATGAAAGCTGTTATTAATTTCCCCAAATTCTTCCAAAAAAAGGAAAGTCGGACTTATTGTATATAGCCACAATCAATCAAAACCTTTCTCTAAGTGAGATGAAATGTGAAAGTAATAAGTTTTATTTAAGTTTTGGTTAATAACATACAATGTTTTTACAATGGTCTTGAAAGTAAATAGATGTTATAGGTACAGTAAATATCATTATGTTCATTTTACTAGGATAGCCCAATAAAGACATTTCCAGAAAAGACGTTTTCAAGTTATTTCATGGAAAGCAGTTTGATTAACAATGTTACATTACGATATCGTAACCATAATTACATAGACAATGACCCAGAAAGAAGAAACACTTTCACCATCATTCACTCCATCACTGTCTTGCCAAAGTGGCGCCGATACTGCTGTTCAAAACTGCAAATATCCTCGGTCCTTCTTCTAGACTCCAGGTACTGTACTGGCCCCTCCAGGACTTCCTATTCGCCGGTCCATCTTGCTGTTATGCCATATTGATTTCTCCCCTCAAACGTTTATCTTGTAAACATATATTTATTTAAATTTAGCAACATTTCCAGGTGTCTAATACATTTTCAACATCAAAATATTAACTTTTCCAACATTACAACAATTACATTTTACATAATTAATTGATTACAATAAATAAGGAAATTATAAGGTACATATTAGTCCCCCGCACCTCCTCCTAATCTCCAAGCTACTGATTCTCTGCATAATATTCACATCGCACATTACCCTCAGACACGGCGTCTCCACTGCCTCCAGTTTTCTCCTTGTCACGACCCATATAAGAGATCTGGTACCACTATACTCTCACATAGTCCCCTCTTTGTTTCCAGGGATAATGTTCTTTGTCTCCACAAACTCCTCAATGCACATCTCACTTTTTTCCCATCGTTAGTTCAATGGTTCACCTCCGTCATAAACCTATCTACTGACACATCCACTACTAAATATCTGAACACATTCACTCCATACTGCTTCCCTCTAATCTGATATCCAATCTTTCTTTATCTATATTTTTTTTTGTTTTTCACATCACCTTGCTCTTGCCTAGGTTTACTTTCAATTTCTTCTTTTACACACCCTCCCAAATTCGTCCACCAACCTCTGCAACTTCTCTTCAGAATCTCCTACAAGCAAAGTGTTATTAGCAAGAAGCCACTCTGACAACTCTTACTCTGTGTCTTACTCTGTGTACATACTTTATCTTTCAATCCCACATCTCATCCCATCACCCGAGCATTCACTGCTCCTACAACACCAACAATAAATTTATTAAACATCCATGGTGACATCAGGCACCCCTTTCTAAGGCCTACTTTAACTGGGAAATAATCTCCTTTCTCCTACATACTAGTAACTGTGTTCGGTAACCTACCACCTATTCCATTCACTTCTGCCACATTGCTTTCTTATCCACGCTATCATACGCCTTTTCCAAATCCATAAATGGATCGAAAACCTCTTTACTCTTATCTAAATACTGCTCACTTATATGATTCAATGGAAACAGTTGGTATACATACCCGCTACCCTCACTAAAGCCTCCTGGTTCATCTGGGATCCTGCTCTCTGTCTTACTCTTACTTCTATTATTAACAATGCCATACATCTTACTAGATATACTAAGCAGACTTATATCCCTATAATTCTTACACTCTCTTTTGTCCCCTTTGCCATTATACAAGTGAATTATTATGCTCCCTGCCAATCCCTAAGTACCTTCCCTTCGTTCAAACATTTATTAAATAAAAGCACAAACCATTCCAAAAATATATCCCTACCTGCTTTTAACATTTCTGTCTTCATCTCATCCATTCCAGCTGCTTTACCCCCTTTCATTCTACCCATTGCCTCACGTACCTCCAACACACTCACATCTGGTTCTTCTTAACTCTTTTAAAAGATGTTATACATTCCTGGCCAAATGTACAAAATCCGAGCTTCCTTATCTTTATCAATATTTAACGGCTGTTCAAAATATTCCCTCCATCTTCCTGATACTTCTAACTCCCCATCTAATAACTCTCTTCTATTTTGAACTGTCAAATCCATTGGTTCACTAGGCTTGCTTCAAGACTTATTCTCAGAAAAATTTCTTGAGAGTATCTCACCCACTTTCTTATTTGCTCTCCTTTTATGTTCCTTTACTGCTCTTTTAACCTCTTTTTTCTTTCCATATACACCTTTTTTATATCACTTCTACTTTGAAAAAAATTTCTCATATACCAACTTTTTCTGTTACTACTCTGTGTAGCTCATCATTCACTTGTCATGATCACATCAGTCCCAGCTCCTTTGTTCTCTTTCATTTTACCTACTGCCTTACGCACCTCCACCTTCACATCTGGCTTTACCTCACTCCTAAAGGATGTTATGTCTCCCTGGTCAATGCATGAAATCACTTCCACCCTTCTTTCATCAGCATTTAACAGTTCCTCAAAATATTCCCGCCCTCTACCGAATACCTCCAACTTCCGACCTGCCAACTCACCTCTTCTGTTTTTAACTGTTAAATCCATTTATTCCCTAGGCTCTCTTAACCTATTAATCTCACTGCAAAACTTTTTCTTATTCTCAGTAAAATTTGTTGATAGAACCTCTCCTACTTTATCATTTGGTCTCCTACTGCATTTTTAACCTATCTTGTACTGTCCATATCATCCACCCTTATATCATTTATTATTATTAATATGATGATTATTATTATTATTAATATTATTATTATTATTATTATTATTAATATTATTATTATTATTATTATTATTATTATTATTATTATTATTATTATTATTATATAAAAAATAGGTTTATTTACAAACCTTTCAGTGATAGGCTCTTCCCAAGGCGTGATGGACGGTATGATTGTGGGTCGTGGAGAGCCAGATAGAGAGCATTGACAGTGTTTCGGAAACTGTGGTGGAGAAGGACTTCCTTCACTGACGACCTCTCACCTACCACCACAACCACCGTCTCTGATAACTTCCATAAACCTGACGCTTCCACTAAGCTAATAATGTAGTTAATTATAAATATTTCTCCCAAATGTAATTTCAAATATATTTTTTTAGTAAGTAGTGCTATGAAGCCTTGAACAAGTGATGGTACAGTTCGAGTGATATTTATAAATAAGTACGTTTTGAAATTAAAAAATACATATATGATACAATTTGAGCAAACTAGCTTATCAGTTTGTAAATGATGGTATGCTTTGGGACTCCTAACTGGATATTTCTCTTTGTGTGATAATAATAAATAGCCAATAACTTCACCACAGATATGTGCTAAGGAACTAATAGATCAAAAATAGTAAAAATATGCATATATATATAATTATATATATATATATATATATATATATATATATATATATATATATATATATATATATATATATATATATATATATATATATATATATATATGCATATATATATATATATATATATATATATATATATATATATATATATATATATATATATATATATATATATATAATATATATATATATATATATATTCAAATATGAGGGAAATTTCTACAAATCGTACAAATTGTCATCATGTAGACACAAAAGTTGCATTAATATCAGAAAGACTAATCTAAAAGTTCGTTATAATTAACACAAATCCCTCGTTGAATTTTGTCTTAATAGAATTTTAGCAAATTAAAAACATGCTTGCTTATTTATCAAATATTACCTTAAGACGACACCGGTTCTGTTGGTATCACTAAGGTCGAGTATAAGACCCCGGCAGGAGGTCTTTGTGCCACCCCACAGCCTCTTCAGAAGATGCTTCTGGGTCAGCTGATCCAGAGAAAACACCGATCCTGCTTCTACCAACACGACACCATCGCCATTTTCATTCAGGCGCCTAAGATACAAGTTTTCGTTGTTACATAGCCTGCTTAGAGGATAGACATAAGGTGAATAAGAAAGAAGTGCCACTGAGAAAATCCCACTTTTCTTGCACAAGAGTTAAACTTCGATGAGGTCACTGCTTTCACCCACTGTAGAACAGTAGTAAGAACGTGACCTCAGCGGTAAAATCCATCTACACACAAGTCCACTCCTATATATCCGAACAAATTCCCTTCCTCCACACTCCTTTCAGTATGATATCCAATCTGTCATTGCCTATTCTTTTCATACCCTCATCACTTTGCTCTTTATGTTCACTTTTAATTTCCCATTTTTATGTACCTTTCAAAAATCTGCCTCTTTCTTACATACCCTAACCTGAGCCTCACTGTCCTCATAAATATTCTTTTCAGGAACCTACCACATATTCCATCTTCCCTATCATGTGCCTTTTACTAATCCATAAATCCCAGCTGCTTTATCCCCTTTCATTTTCCCACACAGCCTCACTCACATCTGGCTCTTCCTCACTGCTAAATGATGTAATACCTCCCAGGACAATGCATGAAATCACAGCTTCCCTCTTTTCATCCATATTTAACAGCTCCTCAAAACATTTCCACAGCCTTCCTGATACCTCCAACTGTCCATCAAATCACTTTCCTTTTTCGTTTTTAATCTTAAATCATTTGTTCCATAGGGTTCTCAATTTGTTAATCTTACTCCAAAACCTCATATTCTCAGCAAAATTTGTTGACAACTCACCAACTCTCTCATTTAGTCTCTTATTTACATTTCCTTACCACCCTCTTTATTAACCTCTTCTTTTCTCTTCATACACTCCTCACTCCCTATATTACTTCTGTTCTTTAAAAACATCTCTTATGCTAACTTTCTCTTACCACTCTTTCCTTAACATTCCACCAATCTCCCCTCTTCCCTCCCTAACTCACTCTCTTATAACCACAAACTCCTACTTAACACTCTAATACTGCTTTCTTAATCTTCCCTTTACCTATTCAACATCATTATGTATAATTTCACTAGCTTTCCACCACTAGTTTACGAACATCTTCCCTTAACTTCCTTCTCCTGTAGTTTATAAATTTTCACCTCTCTCATACTCATTGATGCCATTCTTCTTGTATCTAATTTACGATTCATTCTCATTGTAACTACAACTAAAAAATTATCTGATACATCTGTTACCCCTCTATAAACATGCACACCCAGAACTCTACCTAATACTATAGTAATAGGTAATATGTATTACCTATTACCAGACCTTTCATAAAAAGTTCAATTACAGGCCCTCCATTATCATTCACACTTGGCACCACAAACTTACCTACCACATCCTTTGTAACCGCTTTTCCCACTTTAGCATTCAAGTCCTCTTCCACAGTTATTCTCTCACTTGGTTCAAAATACCCTAAACATTCTCCTAACATCTTCGAAAATCTCTGTCTCTCTCTCCTCTGCACTCCTCTCTTATCCAGGTGCATAAACACTTAATGTAACCCACTTTTCTCATCTGATCCTTATCCTAATCCACATAATCCTTGAATTTATACATTTATTTTCCCCTCTTTTTCTGCCATAGCCGATCCTTCAACATTATTGCTACATCTTCCTTAGCTCTAACTCTCTCAGATATACCTGACCTAATCTCATATATTTTTTTCTCTGAAACTCACTAACCCCTTTATCTTTATTTTGCTTATAGCCAGGACATCCAGCTTCTTTTCCTTCATAACACTGACAATCATCTCTTTCTAATCATCTGACAACATCCACGCACATTCAAACATCACAACTCTATAAAGCTTTTCCTCTCATTTTTTTGTAATTTATACATTAAGAGTTACGTACTAGTAATTACTCAGGCATTTTAGTCACCTTTTACGACACTCATGGCTTACCGAGGGAGGATTCTTTCCCACATACCCATGGAGACGAAAGTAAATAAGTAAGAACAGGAACTATTATGAAATTTATAAGAAAATTCAGATGAGTGTGTATTCATATACAAGTACAGGTATGTATAGTGTGACGTAAATGTAAATAGAAGTAGCAAGTTGTACCTTTCATCTTTTGTGTTTATGAGAGAGTAAGGAAAGACACTAGTAATCCTACCATTGTATAAAACAATTACAGGTTCCTGTTGCACACTCATTTGACAGGACAGTATTCCTTAAAAGGATGTATATATCAATAACAGTTATTTTATCCCTTATATTAATGATTAAAGATCCCTTGGTTACTGGAATGTGTTGCACTGGTGAACTGATGCCTTAGTAATCCTTGTGTTATCGTTATGCTAAATAAACCTAATTATCAAAATATTCAAATACTTCACCTGAGTATGGTGGATGTAAGGTGTGAGTGTCGTTTAATAGTGATGAATACCAGGTGACATCCGGTGAGATGGTGCTCCACTATCTGACCCACCATAACGCCCACCTGCTTCACCACTTGACCCTCCATCACGTCCATCTGCTCAACTGGTTCAACATTCTGAAGGCTCACTTGCTTCACCAATTTACGTTCATCTGAGCCCACCTGATCCACAGGTCCGGCAACTTCCTGGCAAATTTGGGTTGCAGCACAAACCAGGACCAATACATGAAGACAGAGAAACTTCATTCTGCCTAAAAGTATGGAGAATTTTTCAAAGTGAGTTTTCAAAAATGTCAAATTTTCTCTAAATATTAATACAGTCCTGGCTATAGATCAGGCCGCCGGGGCGTTGACCCCCGAAAGCCTCTCCAGGTATACAGTAGAACCCCCCCTAACTGCGGGGGATACGTTCCTAGCCCTACCGCGGATAGTAGCGAACAACATATACAATATATATAAGTTGTTCTTCGTTTACATACATACCTATGATGTTGAGTATTGGAGGGGTGTGGGGATGGTGGCTGGAACGGCTGGGACCAACGAGGTGGTGTGATGGTGACCATGTAGGTGGTAGTGTTGGTGGTCCAGTGTGGGTGGTAGTGTGGCTGAAGGGTGACCGAGCTGGTGTGTCTGCTCAGCTGGTGTGGGTAGTAATTAGGGTGGCTGGTGTCTACATGACTAGGAGTTTAGAATGCATGTTAAAGTGAGTGGGACGTGCAAACATGGGTAAGGGGTGGGTGTGTCATTATAGCTACTGAATTCCCTATACGTATACTTGTGTAGTATATTGTAGATTGTACCATCCATGTATATATTTAGGTTCCCTGCTCAGCTAAGCTCAGTGACTAGCATGTGTGACATCACGTGATGCCTCATGTGAGTGCTGGGCTCCCTGCCTCTCCCGGCAGTTCTCCGTTAGACCTACCAGGTATCAACAGGCAGGCTGGTGCTCCCCCTCATCACTCTGCTAATATAAGTGTTGAAGATTGAGACACTTATGCAGCATATGGGAATCTTTATTCAGGAAACGTTTCGCCACACAGTGGCTTCATCAGTCCAATACAAAGAGGAAGGCGTAAGGAGAGGAGGAGAATGAGGTAATCAGTCCCTCAACCTGGAGTCGATGTGTTCCGCTATCATCTTGTCTAGAACGTACAGCATAGGGCCGTAGAGTGGCTTATATACGATGAGTGAGGTGAGGTGAAGCAGGTGGAGGCGGGGTCATAGTGGTACCACACTAGTCGAAGTTAAAGTCTTCGTCCAAAGGTTGAACAAGTGTTGAAGAATTCTTTGTAACAAGATCCCATGATGCTGCAGTGTTTAACTCCAACCATCACATCTCCACGAACCCTCTCAACAAATGGTGCAGCGGTGAGGGCGTAAATGATTATTTACGCAGATGTAAGGAGAGTAACTTCTACCAGCTGACGGACATTGTGTGTCGACCGCAGGGCGGCCTAGCAGCCAGCTACCCCGAGCAAGCGTCCACCAGCCTGTTTGCTTCCTGCTTACTGGTCAGTCTTTGTGTCTTAGTGTTTTCTCTGCTTATTTGCATTACTTCCGAGAGGTTGACCTGGGTTTGCAAATTAAGCCAAGCCACCAAGCCACCAAGCCACCAAGCCAGTCTGTTGGGGGAGTCAAGCCTTACACCATCCAGCCTGTCTTAAGTACCAGCCTTGCCTGCTAAGCCAGCTTTCCACCCCTGCTGTGCTCATCATTACAAGTTCTCAAGCCAGACTGTGTGAAGGATTAAGCCAAGCAAGCCATCAACTAACCCAGGTGACTTAACCCAGTATTCAAGCAAGCCATGTGAGTTCCAGCCTTCATCATCGCTTGTTCTCCAAGTTCCAAGCCATCCTGAGTGCTTGTACCATCCCTGTGGTGTTGTGGTATTTTGTGGGTTTTTAAGCCAGCCTGGCTTAGAATATCTTCATGCCTAGTGCGGGTTTACCCAGAGCACGTGGATTATGCCACTTTTACCAGTCAGCCAAGCCACACCACATAGTGACTGCATGCTGCCTCAACCACCTTCCACCACCACCACCACTGTGTTTTTTATTACCCTTATATCGGGTTCTAGCACCTTATTTTATGGACCAAATAGGGAGTCAAGACGCACGATTGTTCCTTCGTACCTGTGTGCCAACGTAAAAGCCTCCTGTGTGAGTTTATCACTGATTTATGCACTAAAAACTTCGAGAAATCGCCGAGTAGTGGAGTGCCGCACCAGCTACGAACTACCTTCCTCCACCTCCACCACCCTCAATTCTTCTCTGATGTCGCCCCAGTTATAATAAATCTTGTTATAGAGACAAGTATTGTGACTTCTTTCCAGTGATTTCTTAAGTGACATTCAGTGACTTTTGATTCAGTGTTCATTACATTCTTTTTGCAATATTATTTTTTTTCTTCGGTGTTTAATTTTCGTGCTTTATTTTATGTCTGTTGTGTTGTATTCCTTTTTTTTATATATACTTGAAGTAAGTACTTTTCTGTTTTTCCCTGTTCATGTCTTGACAGACCATGCTCTGAAACCCTTATTCCAGAACAAACAACCTACTGGAAGGTTAGCCAGATGGACCTTGACTAACCATGAGTTCAATCTTACCTTTGAACACTTACCTGACAAGCCAAATGTAGTCGCAGATGCCTTATCGCGACATGTTAGTATAGTAACTGCAGACCCTCCTTTTACTGCCGAGGATGTAAAGAATGCTCAAGGAACAGATCCCATGTGGTTTGGTGTAATTGGATTCCTGCTCCAGGAAGACCTTATTCTGACTGTGAAGCCACCAGCACCCATTAGTGACTTTGTCATGAGTCAAGAATTACTGTATCGAACAGCTGAGTTGGGTACCCCAAGCAGAAGGGTATACCAATTAGTAATTCCACAGTCACTAGTGAAAGTACCTCTACAGCTAGTTCACGATGCACCAGGTGTTGCACACCCTGGTATGGATCGTTCTGTGAAACAAGAAAGAATGAAATACTTTTGACCACATATGGCAATTGATATTTCCGAGTATGTTAAGAAATGTAGTGTCTGTATGCAGCATAAAGGAAATGCCAACTGTCCAAATCCTATCCAGGTGTATCCCACCACGAGTGAACCATGGGAAAGAGTTGCCATAGATCTGTTAACCAATTTTAAATGTTCCCTCCAAGGTAACAAACATCTGTGTGTTATGGTAGACTATTTCACCTGTGGCGTTCCACAGGGATCAGTCTTGGGCCCGTTGTTGTTTATAATATATATCAATGATCTTGATGAAGGAATTACTAGTGATATGAGCAAATTCGCCGATGACACGAAGATAGGTACGATAATTGATTCAAACGTAGATGTTAGGGAACTTCAGGAGGATTTAGACAAACTCTACTCTTGGTCAGAAAAGTGGCAGATGCAGTTCAATGTAGATAAATGCAAGGTTCTGAAGCTCGGGAGTGTCCATAACCCTAGCACTTATAAGTTAAATAATATAGAACTTAGCCATACAGATTGCGAAAAGGACTTGGGGGTTATGGTAAGCAGCAACCTTAAACCAAGACAGCAATGCCTAAGCGTACGTAATAAGGCAAATAGATTACTGGGATTTATATCAAGAAGTGTAAGCAACAGAAGTCCAGAGGTCATACTGTAGCTTTATACATCATTAGTAAGGCCTCACCTAGATTATGCAGCTCAATTCTGGTCTCCATATTACAGAATGGACATAAATTCGTTAGAAAACATTCAGCGTAGGATGACTAAATTAATACATAGCATTAGAAATCTTCCTTATGAAGAAAGATTGAAGACTCTTAAGTTACATTCACTTGTTAGACGAAGAATAAGGGGAGACCTGATCGAAGTGTATAAGTGGAAGATAGGTATTAATAAAGGGGATATTAACAAGGTCTTGAGGATATCTCTCCAAGAGAGAACCCGCAGTAATGGATTTAAATTAGATAAGTTTAGATTTAGAAAGGACATAGGAAAGTATTGGTTTGGAAATAGGGTAGTTGATGAGTGGAACAGTCTACCTAGTTGGGTTATTGAGGCTAGGACTTTGGGTAGTTTCAAATTTAGGTTGGATAAGTACATGAGTGGGAGGGGTTGGATTTGAGTGGGACTTGCACATCGGAGCTTGTTTCTTGGGTGGCATTGAAAGTTGGGTTGGTCAAATGTTTGTTAGTGGGATGAATTGTAAAGGACCTGCCTAGTATGGGCCAACAGGCCTGCTGCAGTGTTCCTCCTTTCTTATGTTCTTATGTTCTTATATTGTGAGTTAGTTCCTATTACAGATAAGACTGTCATTATCTGCAGGCATAGAACCCCTAAGTCCCTAGTAACAGATAATGGAGGTGAATTCTGTAATGAGATTCTTGAAAATTTGTGTACCTTGTACAAGATCTCTAAGTCAACCATTGTTCTCCATCATCCTGCGAGTAATGGTTTGGCAGAACTAACAAATAAGAAAGTACTTGATGTTTTGAGAGCCACTATCAATCCCAGCAGTGAAACTTGGGATGAAGTTATACTGGATGTTCAATGTGCCATAAATTCTGCTTACAGTGCTTCCATAGGTGACACTCCACATTATGCATTGTATGGTGTAGACAAGCGTTTGCCTTATTACAACCCTGGTGATTTCATAGCAACTCTTACCAGCTTAGCTCAAAGTGTTTTTAGAAGAATCCATGAGACACTTCGTAAGTTAACAGCAGAAATCACAAGAGTAACTAATAGCCGTGCTAAGCCAACCAAAGTTAAAGTGGGTTCGAGAGTAATGCTGACTAACTTCAACAAAACATCCGCAATGCCTAAGCTCGATCAAAAGTTTGCTGGTCCTTATCGAGCACTTGAACATATCAATGGCAATAAGTATAAGGTTAGAGAAATTAGTACTGGTCAGTATAAGGAATCGCATTTAGATCATATGGAGTTAGTATGTGATGTTGAAGATATTCCTACTCAGACTAATGTGACAGACGCTGACAATCCTCCTGACTTTGTACCCTCTACTTCTAATATTCAGTCAGATGATCAACCTGAATGTAATTATTCTTTGCGTACATGACAAGTAATGAGAAACCCCCAAGTATCTTTTGTAGATACTTGTTCAGATCTCCCTCAGTCAACGCATGTGTTAGCCATTGCAAAAGAATTCGATCCTAAAGACGATAACCATTCTGCATATGTAAATATTACCCTCGGTTTTAAATGTACATAGCCTGTATAATTAGATGTTCAAGATGAATGAAGT